CAGGAAGCTGTACAGTGCCAAGTTATGTATATATATACACTTTACATTTGAGGAGTGTCTCCAAAAGCAATATCTTGAAAATGGATTTTGTTTATTATTGTTCTGTACAGGACTCGGCCCTAAATGTATTATGATTATTATTATGATGACAATATTGTAATTTCTTCCGTTTGTATTACTATAATGAAGACACTTAAGCTTGGAGGATAATGAGTCTTTTTTTTTAATCTTTATGTCAATGACATGAAAACATAAGCTGAGTTTTTTTTCGTTGCCTATAAATGAAATTCATCTATGTACTGCATGAACCAGTAGAATGTCAGAACGGACGCAGAAGGCATCGGGACGCGATAGTGGCTCAGCAGCGACACCTTTTGTCACTGAATATTGTTAATAATATAACTTTTTAAGGAGAAGTGCACCTCCTTGTTTTTTGCTGCAAAGTGTTGAACACTAAAAAAACAAACCAACATAAAAATGTTAACGATATTTTTAAACAGTAAAGCTGTCAGCCCAATATCATATTATTTTTGTCTCTTCTTTTTTGCTCAAATAGGAAATGTTCCGTTTTGTGATAGCGGTCATTGTATGATGCTTGTACTTGTATTTGTGCGTTTTGTGTGATTTGTTTAGTTATTTTTTTAGACAATCACAAAATAAGATGCAAGCATTGTAAATGGCAGACTCGCGGACATTTTTTGTGATGTGTACAGTTTGTCAAAAAGAAAAAAAAATCTTCCACTCGTTAAAGTTTGTAATTATTATTCTTAAGTCATGAGAAACGCTGTTGGTTTTTACCTTTTGTTTTTTATTTTATTTTATTTTTTTGTTTTTTTTTTGTTTGTTTTTTTAATAAAAGCACTACATTATTGTGAATACAACAAATCATAATGTGTCATTTTATGCACAAACAATAAATAATAGTCCGTCGGAGATATCCTTTTCAAGTATGAATAATATTGAGCTTTTAAAATTATTTTTATGTATAAATAAAATTAAGTTCAGAATGTTTGTTTTTTAAATTCCGTAATAACGAGGCGTAAGATAAACCATTGTTGTTTAACTTATCCAGTTTGCCCTCCAGTCTCGCGTGATGTGAACTTACGTCCCGCGGTGACGTCACAGTCTGGTTGCCACAGCGACGCTCGGCGGTTCGAAACAGAAGCGGACTTCCAGATATTTAAACTCACCCGTGGCCTTCCAGAAATGTCTAAGAAGAGACAAGCGAGAGACAAAGCCGAGGTGACGACCGTGGAGGAAGAGAAAAATGCAGGTCATACCAACTATTGTTTACCCTAGCTCTGTGTTTATATGCTATGGTTAGCGCATTATAGGACGTAGCTTTAACACAAAGTACTAACTTAACAAGTTTGTGTGTTTTTTGTTCTTTTCAGGAGATATTTCTAATAACACGTCGCCTGCCCAAACCTTTGGTAAGAACCATAAACACTTCTGTTAATTATTGGTGGTTCTGAGAAGTGTATGTTAAATCATTTGAATGCGTCCTGTCGCAGATGGATATCAGTGCACAGGGAATGTGGAGACTGACTTCCCAGCACTTTGTACTCTATTGGACATTAAAGACTTCCCGCTCGTCAGGACTTTTCAACCAGCAACCTCACCTTCCACCTCTGACACTGATGGGGAGAACTCGGGTAAGTTAAAGCTCCATTACATACAATGATAATGATTAATATCAAACAGAAATCGAGCACAGCTACAGATAACAAAATTAAACTTACAGTAAACAAAAATTGCCAGAAAAATGGTGCAGCTTCATGGTGGAAACAGCGCCTCCAAGTGGAACTAGAGAATGAAGACCCATTAAGTGCCAAGAGTATAACGGCCTCTGGTAAGAACCGACCGTCACAGTAGAAGAACAGACCGTTTCACCAGTGTTTGATGTGGTGTTGCATTGACTGTTCTTATCTGCAGGATGGAAGATCGATGAACAGATGGTCATGGTGCTGCAGAAGATCTTTCCTTCCTTGACCAATTTACACCGTGTGTAGTAAGTGCATTTGTAGTACACACGCACACACAAGTACAAACACATACTGATACTTAAATATCATAAATGAAATAATGTGTTGCAGTTTTTGGCAGACAGGACTTACAGACCAGATGGTGAAGTCTGTCCTGAACACACTGCTGCTGTGCTCCAATCTGAGGTGAGCGGACTCACTGGTAGCCAGTGAAGAAGGACTGAATGTTGAATGACTCAACAAACACTTTGTGTTTTTCTGTCAGGATTGTGGCGTTGGAGGGAAACCCTCTCCCAGAACAGAGCTTCCACTGTCTTCTCTCTGCAGACAGTGTGTGAGTCACCGAGCGGTTACACTTTCAAACAAAGAACCAAAGAATCAACTGTCAGAGGAGTTACTTTAGGTTTCTCTCTCTCTTTTCCATTGTGTTCAAGCCTCACCCATGTGTCCCTAAGGAACAACGGGATAGATGATAACGGTGCTCGTCTGATCGGGTCTGCTCTCTCCACGAGTAAAACCTCTAACAGGAACCTCCTGTCACTGAGCCTGGCATTCAATTCTATAGGAGACGAAGGCGCTGCTCATATCGCTAAGGTGTGACCTGACTCTCACACACATTTCACTTGTGTCCTACATGTATTTGACCTCTTTAGAAGACGTACTGTAGACATGATGTTTGTCTCTCAGGGTCTGAGGTTCAATCGTTCTCTGCTCTTTCTGTCACTGGCCCAAAATCTGATTGGAGACTCAGGAGCAGCTCATCTGGCTGAGGTGCTTTTTTTGTTAGTATTTGAGACTTAAATGTAACAAGTTGCCTTCTATCCTATCTGTAGCATTCATTTTTTTAATGCACAGCTCACAGCAGTACGGTCATTTTCAGGTTCTTGGTGATTTTGCTCTAACTCATGAAGAAGTTGTGGAGAGGAGGAAACAGCTTCTGGAGAGAAGGAAGTCAGTAAGTTTATTATCAACATAAATAATCACTCTATAATATTTTGGTCATCATCCATGACTATGGATGTCCCATATCAACTTTTTGCTGATGTCCGAAATACACATATTGTCCAAACACTTAGTTTCCGATTCCGATATTGACCAATATAGGCCTGATAAATTTATTTTGTCTGTACAAACCACTTTATGAGTATAATTAAATGAGCTGCAATGCTGCCATCTAGTGACTTACACTTTAATATACAGCTGTTTATCCTCAAAACTATTTTTAGGCCACACATCATAAGGCAAAACCCAGTGATTGCGTTATCAGGTTTTCATTGCTAACCGGGCCGATAATATCAGACATCTCTATCCATGACTTAAAAAAATGAATAATAGTTAAGTCAGACTTTGTCATTGAGAAGTTACATATTTATATTCTGTCCAATAGTCTTGCGTTCGTGCCGTCCACAGTTACCTGTGAGGGCAGACTCTGAACACACACCTCCAGACAAACCTGCCTCAGTATCCAGCAGCTCTTCAGTGAGCTTCAGCAAGAGTGAGAAGAAAGAGCCGGCCAAGAAAAAGGTAAAACGTCACCACCAACTGGGATTTTTTAGGGATTTGCTGAGTGCTGATTTTTCAGTGCAATATATGACTGATTACAGGGGGCGCCAAAAAAAGAGGAGAAACCCGTTGCCAACAAAGAGAAGCTGAAGTCTGGCAAGAAAGGCAATGCTGTAGTTTTCTTTAAGGAAGAGTTTTAATCTCTGTTAAATCTGTTTATTACTGAGTTTTTACTTTTCTTTTTTTTTAGCTTCTGAAATAAAGGCATCTCAGAGTAAAGGCAGGAAAATGGGAGACAAGAATAAGCAAGGAGCTTCACTGGAGGTATCAGACATAAACATTTTTAGATCATTTTTTATTGTATTTATGTATGTTTTTTACAGTATTAAATCATTACTATGGTTTTGATAATACTGATATTTGTCCCTTTAGGTGCTATCAACTACTTCACTGACAGAGGTGTGTCTACAAGTGTGTGTTAAAGTCTTAATTTAGCTTTTGATAACGACTCTCTTTAAAACATGCTGATGGCGGTTTCCTCCAGCATCAGGTAGACACAGTGAAGATAGAGCACCCTCTGCTGGATCAGACGCCACAGCACAGGCAGGGACAACTGTTTCTGCCTGGAAACAACATGCTGGCCTCCCTGGACCTGGCAGGTCAGTGACGGTGATGACAGTGATTAACATTAATATAAACGCCTGCAGTAGGGGGCGCCACTGGTATTTAATTAAAGTGATGATGCTCGAGCATATCTTGACTAAACATGGCATGACAGGGATAAGGAAACATATGCAAGAAAATATTAGGAATTTATTTGAGAATAAAAGTGAAGTGGAATTTATAATGAGTGCTTCACAGTTCCTAAGAATATAATGTATTTATAATGTATTGGCTGGTGAAGCTGGGTTTACGCTTTAATTGTTTTAAGGATTAATTAGAAATGTATTAGACTCACAACATAGGTGGAATAAAAATGTAGAATAAACAACATCATTTAATGAGAGTTCAGGCTCTGATGACTGTGTTGTCTGAGCCACAGCCGAAGCCTTCACGATGCTGATGAGGAGGCAAATGACTGTGACCATGAGACAGCCGTCTCCTCACGTCACTCTGAACCTCCTCCTCCTGCCTGTCGTGGTCTGTAGCTGCAGCACAGCTCTGCTGCAGTCGTGGGTCTACAACAATCACTAAGTCACCAACATTTGACACTGTTACATCACAGAATATTTATGAAGCAGCATATCAGGCTCTGTATCCAATCTCCATCAGTGCTCACTGATCTGAGCAGCTCATTATTCAGCTCATCAGTGATGAAACCACACCAGTGACATTTTTATCTCCGCACATATATTAAAACCAGTGTCACACGGATCAAAAGCCAGGGAAAGTAATTTCCTGTCCTCTCTGCTGCTGAATATCAGAACGTTACTGTTTGGGGCATTGATACACACACACACACACTACTCACCAGGAGGTGTGAGAGGTTTGAGAGACTTGACGTGTATTTTTTGAGAATAAGTGTTGTTGTTGTTGTGTGTTTGTGTAGGAAACAGAATCACAACCAAGTCACTGCCATCGTTCCTGACTTCAGTGGAGATGCAGGAGGAGAAAGGTGGTCTGCTGCGTCTCTGTCTGCAGGTGTGGGTCTCACCTCAGTCTTGTTAAACACTGTGGGCTGATCCAGTCATGGGTTCAATTAAAATCCAATGAAGGAAGATCAGGTCATTGCATTAATACCTCATTTTTCCACATCAATATGATTAATTCAAAGTACTCATTATCCCCTGTCTTCTGTCTTCTCTCTCTTTGTCACTCAGAGGAATAAATTCCCAACGGAGTGTGAATCCTATGTGAAGTTACAGGAACTGTTGGCACCCAGGCTGGAGAAGGAGCTGTGGAAGCCAGATGCAGACAAGGGGAATGGAACTGTGTAGAACTGTGACATTGGATTCAGTGAAAATGTTGGACTGGACAACATGAATTAGCTCCAACGACAGGTATAAAGAAAATAAAGGGAGGAGGGATTTATTTTTTGTGGCATTGGGTTTGAAGGGAGCAAGACTCAAAGTATAACACCATATTCTTTGACAGTCTACTTGAAACCATGGACTGTCACAGCGTGGAGATCACACTGAGTGGAAGACATTATAACTACTTTGATAATCCTGTAATCTCAGAACCCAACATGAATTGTCCTTTTATCACTGTCTCCTTTTATGTCCATTCACCTTCATTCATCAACCATCAATCTGGATAGCAGCTCTAAAACACCATTATTAAACAGTAATCTCTGGGACTGTGCCTTTATTTTAACACCTCACTCTGTTGTTTATGCTGGTTGTCAATTCACTAGTGAACCAGAATTAAACTGTAACTGCAATTAAAGGTGCCATCCATCCATTTGGCTGGGTCAAAGGGCAGCTGCAGCCAATCCAGGCAGTGTTCCACACCAGTCCATCACAGTGTTTATTTGTAGGTTTCTACATAGGTAGAAGGGACAGTGTTCAATGTAACTGTGGATCAAGACTATGTCCAAGAGGAGACACGCCAAAGAGAAGGCAGACAAGGCTGCCGCGGCTGCTGCAGCTGGGGCTGACGACGACAAAAGATCAGGTTGGAAAAAACTCTCAGCCATCACCACAGTTTGTCAGCAACAGAAGCTGCTGTTTTACTGCATTGTTAGCTTGGACTAGTTACTACATCAAATGTTAAAGTATTATTCAGAAACCATCACTAAGACAAAGGAAACACTTTGTTGCTCTATTTCAGTGTATGCAGAACTTTATTATATCATAATATACAGTATAGTTATAATAATTACCATACATAATATAGTTTTATATATATATATAATATATTTCAAAATTAAATAGAAATGGGCAACATCAGGACCTAGTTTTATTATGAAGGACCTAAACTTAGCCGTTTCTGTAGTTCATTAAATACTACAGGTAAACAG